AAGCTGGTGTAAAAATTAATCCTAAAGATTGGTCAGAAGCTGAATTAGAAAGGATAACACGTCGTTTAACTGTAGAGCTAGCTAAAAAAGGCTTTATTGGTCCAGGTATTGATGTTCCTGCACCAGACATGGGTACCGGTGAACGAGAAATGGCATGGATTGCTGATACATATGCGTCCACGGTGAGAACAATCAAGTCTTTTTCGTGCTTCTTGTGCTTTTAATGTTTGTGTTGATGTTACTTTTAGGTCGGTTGGGAAGATATACATGCCTACGGCTGTGTCACTGGCAAACCGATTGGCAGTGGTGGTATTCATGGACGTACATCGGCCACAGGACGTGGCTTATATCACGGTGTTGATAACTTTGTGAACGAAGCATCATATATGTAGGGAACAGCTTGCTTCATCTGTTGGTGTGTTATTAACTTCAATATCATTTTTCGTTCTCAGGGGCATGGTTGGATTGTTGCCGGGTCTTGCTGGGAAGACGTTTATAGTTCAAGTATTGTAAATACATAAACACTTATTTTCTAATATATTATATATACTCCTTTGATGTACTAGGGTTTTGGTAACGTGGGTTTACATTCAATGCGTTATTTAACTCGACACGGTGCTAGATGTATCGGTATATTAGAATACGATTGTGCCATTGTGAATCCTGAGGGTATTGATCCAAAAGAGTTGGAAGATTATAAACTTGATAATGGAACCATAAAAGGCTTTCCGGGTGCTAAACCCTATGAAAAAGAGCCAAAAGAAGACTTATTATGTGAACCATGTGACATCCTTGTTCCAGCAGCTAGTGAAAGACAAATAACTTCAGAAAATGCCCATCGTATTCAAGCACGCATTATTGCTGAAGTACGCTGCATGTCATAGATGTTGTCACTAAATGTTTAAAAATCATTACGCAAATTTAGGGAGCCAATGGACCCACAACACCTGAAGCTGATCAAATTTTAATGAAAAATAATGTTTTAGTTATACCAGGTAATTGGCATAAGTAATCTTTTGAGTTTATTGTAAAAGTATCGTTATTCTTCTTAGATTTGTATATTAACGCTGGTGGTGTGACTGTATCATATTTTGAATGGTTGAAAAATTTAAGCCATGTCAGCTATGGACGTTTAACGTTTAAATACCAACGTGATACAAATTATAGTTTACTGAGTACGAACTAAGATCTTTTCTTTGTCTCTGCTGTTCAATTTCTAAACATTCGACTATATATTTTTAAAGCGAGTGTACAAAGTTCACTTGAAGCGAAATTCGGTCGCATGGGTGGAAAAATACCAATTGTAAGCTATAGAAAACTCTCTGTTATACATGAGTGCATTGTAAGTTTTGTTTCTTATAATTTTAGACACCAAGTGACGAATTTTACAAACGAATGGCCGTAAGTATTTTTCTTCAAGTATGAAGTTCGCTGCAAGAAAATATAAGTTAGTTAGTTAAACCCTATTACCATTTCCGGTGTAGGGTGAGAAACAAAATAAGATATACAAAAAGAAAATATAAAAAAGCAACTATTTTTGGGTCTGCTAGTAAAATCGTAATTTAGTTAATAATCTCGGTTGAGTTTATGTGATTGTTCTTGAAAATGAAAAACTGAACTGTTATTGTTTTAGGGTGCATCGGAGAAGGATATTGGTAAGGAAACAAACGTAAAATTTAGCGAAACGTTCTAAATAATATTGTTTTATATATATTTTAGTACATTCGGGTCTGGAACATACAATGGAAAGATCGGCACGTGCTATTATGCAGACAGCTATGACATTTAATCTTGGGCTTGATATTCGTACCGCAGCCTATGTTAACGCAATTGAAAAGATCTACAAAGTATATGAATCAGCCGGCATTACATTTGGCAGTTAAAATAAGAAAACTTAAATCGATGATAAAATTAATTATCTGCTAGATTATACACATAAAACAGTTTTTTTCTAAAAATTATTCGTTGGAAAAGTTTTTTTTTGTAATTTTTAATGTTCTTTGATAGCCTTGACTATTCCTCCGAAAAATTTTAATATATGTGTATAACTGTTTGATCATGGCACACGAACATCTCACTTCATAATCTCACTTCCAAAAACAGCTCTTTTTGAGATAGATAACAGTTTCGTTTTTTTTTCTTCTTTCTTATATTTTTCATTTTACAGTCCGAAACAGTATGGTAATGTTCTTTTTTATTTGATGATTGTTTATAATAAAAAACGAACTTTTGCTACAAATGTTGAACTTCATTGATTAGAAGTACCATACAAATTATCAAAAATAGATATTTAAGAAGCATTTTGATTCACACAACTGATAGCTGACAGTGCTTCGATATAACAAACCATAGAAAGAAAAGGTGTGTGTCTCGTTCAACTAGGATTGATAAACTTTTGTATAATGATTCTTTCATTATGAACTTAAAAGAGTCTTTACGTTTTACGAATTCAACAGTTGAGAACTGGACATATCATTCTATAAAACTATTAAAGATGTTTAGGAGAATTATTGAGAACAAGAAAGAAATGTTTCATTTTGATAATCGATCGACTTGTTGCTCGTGCTTACCATTGTAAAAGTAGAATTTGTTGATATTCACCATTTAAACGTTTAGTAGTGTTTTACTTATTTTGATTTCTTGTTCTTGCATCGAAGTCTAAATATCAGAAAACGTAAAAGAAAAAAGTTTGCTTTGGTAAAAAAAGAGAGCTTCCTCAGTTAATCCTGTGGCATTAAATTATTTTTTGATCATTTTTTCTCTTAATCTTCTATTTTGTTCTTTTGTGTATGTTTTTCTTTTCGCAAAACTAACCATTTTTATTATTCAAACAAATTGAAATCTAAAGTGTTTTTCTTTTCTTATTTTTAAATGAATAACAATATTATATGAAACCATAATCATTTTAAATTCGTTTATAATTTCATCATACATTATTTAAGTCACTAATGTTTGTTTCTCTATAAAAATATGTCCGTTGTTGAAAGGTAAGCTACTTCGTTCCATCTGATGGATAAAATTTATATGACTCTTTGCCAATATTAGCACCACCAATTAACCAACAACATGAAACGAATTTTCCGTTAATATCTTGTTTCATGGCAGTAGATCAGCCAGCTGAGCGTAATAGCTACAGTGCAAGTAGCACCAATAAATTAATCAATGATACGTCAGATAATTTACAGGAACCATACTCACCATTTAATGATTTACCTCCACCTCAATTTTTACGAAAGCCACCACCAAAACCGGTTTGGGGTTATTGAGAATATTTCTTTTATCTCTCTATGATATTGTTTTCTATGATTTATAGGAGGAAAATTTGTCCATTCGTGGCCCATTCGGAATAACTACAGCCTCAACCGTGATATGGTACATTGGAATATGCCTTCTATTTCTTATGTCATTTTTCGGCCTAACCTTATCCGTACTCTATTTTGTAACAGGTAAAAGTGATTGGATATTAAATTCGGCTATTAATAATAAATGTTTCAAACTATGAGGAGCAATTTACATTTTGAAAATAATTGGATCTACTGTTATTTCTGGTTTAGATACAATTACGGATCAAACAACAAAACTTTATGGTATCGCTGGTTCAGGCAGTCTTGCTATTGTAACATTTTTCATCGTTTGCCTTGACTGTTGCTACAAAGGCAATCGTCAAGATCATGAAAATGAAATATTATACAGAATTCAACGAGCGAAAGAAGCTCAACGAAAGAAAAAGCGTGCTATCCGTCCCGTGGTCGACGACAGGATTGAGAATGAAATGAAAAAAACAGCTAGAAACAACAATACCTACGTTAATCGGCAAGTTCATCCATCATCGTCTCAGCCTCATCAACATCAACATCATTCGCACATAAACTCACATGCTCACCACCACCACCATCACCACCCTCATGTACAAAACATACAACAACCGCATTACCATCATCCACTTGTTTGTCCAGTTTGTCATGATATGCATGCTACAGGCGCTTACAATCATAATCCTCCAAATGATGTTGGAGTGGATACATCGGATAAATTTCCACCAAAAAAACCGATGAAACAAAAAGAAGTTGTGCACAAATCAACACGCGACGCACAAACCGAATTTACGATGTACGATCAAGATCGAAGTACTCAGACAGATCGTGACTCAGGAACACAAACGTCGGCAATCGAAATGAGTGGTTTACCAAATAATATAACGTCAATAATACATGAGACAACAATTTTGAAGGCCCCACGCAGTCTTTTACCAGCAATAAAAGAATCAATGCAGAAACAAGACAAGGATAATGCTATTCAACAATCAGTGACGGACACGATGACAATGTCGAATCAAACATTAAGAGCAGTGGTTGTATCAGCTAATGGAGGAAAGAAGTGAACAGGCATAATTGTTAATTACTGTTAAAGCATTTTTTTGAGAGAATCAAAAAACTTCCGTGCAGTATAAATTAAAAAATACAATATTCATAAATTTGTACTTGCGAGTACCATTCTGGGCTACAATAGTGATCATTGTTTCTTTTAGATCAATAAGATAGATAGGAAAATATAAGTATTTCCAGAACGACAGGAGATAATAGCATTTGTAGTTGTTCAGCACACTTCAATCCCATTAACTATTATCAACAAATGACAATAGGTATTATAGCGTTTGTACATTATCTACATTTTTTTGACATAATTTTTCTGGTAATAAATAAATAAATAAATAAGTAATGTGGAATTTGAGCTCAAACCTTCGGTTATCTATTTTATGTCTATACACATTCCTGTATAATTTTAATCTTACAAAATTTTGTAACTATTGTATATTGTAATTAAATCGACAATAGCAAATAAGACAGACGAATACTTGCATGTACTTCGTCAGATGGTAACGCACAATATGCGTCCACACGAGTATGCGTAATTTAATTTATCATATTGTGAAGTATACCTCGGAATGTTCACTTACTAAACATTTGAATGAGAACTTGGTAAGTGTTTTTACTTCCCAAGTTCTTGTCTAAGTACTCATCAGGTATCGCCACTTGATTTGCTTCAGCCAAGTACATGCACAAGTCAATCACTCTTTTCTTTAGCATTGACAAGTTGCATATAAATGTCACAATATTAATCAGTATAAACTTAGAAAATAAATTTAGATATTTCCACCGAGCTGAACAAACTTGGTAGCCATCAGAGCTCCGCATGGACTGGACTCAGATTTTTTGGATTTCATGGATTCGGACTGGACTGGACTAGACCTTTTTAGTCCATGGACTGGACTGGACTCAAATTTGAGTCCATACGGAGCTCTGGTAGCCATCCATGCATCTGCTCTACAAAAGTAGAGTATGACTGCAGAATATATACAAAATACAAGATAAAGATAAATGGAACAAGCACTTCGTTGAACTTCTTCAAGTAAATTTACTTACACTGAGTCAGTCAAGTGCTTGGACAAGTGTTTACAAGTAAATTTACCTCTGAAAAAAGGTAAGTAACGACTTCATGACTCAAGCGAAGTACTTGGACACAAGTACATCCGTTTTCTCATACATAGAAATTTATTACTTGCATTGGGAAGAGGGAAATTTTCATTTTGAAAAACAGACTAAAACGACAAATATGAATAATCTGATATTCTTTTTGCAGCTTATAGGTATTTCTACATTGAAAACGATCTCATAAATGGGTCTCAGATTCTTTTCCTACTTGTAGACAAAAACATTTTCTAGTTCAGCGTTGAATCTTAGAAGAAAAATTTATTTTGTATACCAACACATGTTTTTGAAAATCAACTCCGGAGTAAAATAAGTGCGCACAATTTAGCAGTGTCAGGCTGGCTCACTCATACTTTCTTCAATTCTTACTCCATATCTGTCCGTTGCATCTGTCAGAGAACCCTTATAAAAATGCAACGTGCGAAGTACCTCATTTCGATCTTTGTGCTGGCTATCACTTCAGAATGGCTGATGACTATTTCGATCAGAAATTTTCACTATAAGATCCAAGCATGAGAAAATCATGCAGCAATCACTTGCACCTATTAAGATTTCTGCATTAAAGGTACATTCATATAGTTGGAATCTAGCTTCAAGTAGATGTAGCTAGATGTTATCGATTAGCCGGGCAATGAAGTGCCTGATATATCAGCTGCTTCAGCTAGAACATGATTTTAACAAGCTTGCAATTAGATATATGTAAGTAGCAACTGTCGACTAAGCTCAACAAGTTAATTATTCACCGAAAACCTCGGAAGTATTTCGGAAATTTGCTGTTTCTTATAAAGCCAACATGAAGAACAATAAAGCGTAAAATCGAAAGTCGCAGCATAAAAAACCCTCAAAAAAAACCGCGTAGGAGAAAATGATAAGGAAAAAAGCGTGTGAGTTTCTAATCGTGAAGAAAAAATTGTAAGATAAATACGGGAATGTCAAAATCACGGAGCATATTCATAGAAGTGGAAAACGTGAAATAAAACTGGCAGAAGTAAAACCGTGAACAAAATAACCGTAAGGAAAATCGTAGAAACTGATATGTATAAAAGAAGATACGAGAAAAAAATCACTTAGAAAATCACACTGAAAATCCGTTCACAAAAAGCATCAAAGAAAGACGGGGAAAAACAGTGTAGAAGCAACACCGCTCTGGCCAGTCATCTCTGCTACCGGAGTGAAATTCCGTAACGATTTTTTTGCATTTTGTTTTTCTTATAATGTTTGAGTAACGAGACGCCTAGAGATCTAGAATATCACAGATTAAAGAGAAAAGTGTGCTAAAGATTCTGAGATGTTCCTACAGTCTACACATTCTTTTATTCAGAAACTATAAGAAAAATACAAACACCTACTTTCCAAAACTTAACCGAAAAAGTAGGTGTTTGTATTTTTCTCATAGTT